AGAGAGAGAGAGAGAGAGAGAGAGAGAGAGAGAGAGAGAGAGAGAGAGAGAGAGAGAGAGAGAGAGCGGAGGATGAAGTCCTCCTTGCTATCTCACCTGCAGGTAGCTGCCACTTGAACTGACCTCGTCCGTTGCTGTGTGCAGGTACCGCGTGGAGCCCAGCTATGGCGCCAGGTGAGCTCGCCGACTGCAGGTATGGCCTCCGCCACTCTCTACCTCGCCTAACTCTACTCCCTACTCCTCTACTTAGCGCAACATAGCGCAGCCTCCAACCAGCAGCGTGTCGCTCAGAATGAGCTACTCGAACTGTTTTTGCCCCTGAGCTGGCCCAGCTATAAGTAGTGTTGGGCCGTGGTGCTGTACCCTCGACCTGCGATCTGGGCCGTGAGATCGTAGGTCCGATCCATGGTCCAGATCGCAAGGAAAAGTCCTGTCCCCGGGTCTGGCCTCAAAACGGCCTGCCTGGGTCCCTATCGGACGTCCAGGCCTTCCCTGCTGATGCAGCAGGAAGTGTCTGCTACTAGACAAAAGCGAACCTGGCCTAAAAGGGCCTGGCCACGAATGGAGGAGGCCAAAAACGTGGCCTTGGTCCGAACAGATCGTAGATCTGTTCGGACGAACTGCAAGTCCGAAACGTCACTTGAAACAGACAAAAATAGAACAGGCAAACAGCAGCACACATAAGTAAATAAATAAATAAATAAATAAATGAATGACTGCTGCCTCAAATTTGTACCTACGGCCTGTCCAATGGCCGTGGGCCTCCAGGTCGCGTGCTTGGAACAGGCGCGCTGCCTAGGGGCCCTCAACAACCGTCGGGCCCGAAAATGGGCCCGTGTGTCAGGCTCAGCATGTAACATCTTAGCTTCCATCCTTTTCTTTTCCTCTTCCCTCTTCTTTCTGGCTGCCTCCTCCTGGTTCGGATTTTTCACAGTCGGTTTCCCTTTCTTCGATTTCCCCTTAATCACCTCCACCCATGTCCATTCTCTCTCCCCTCTCTTCTCCCCTTCCCCCCCTTGTTTCGGAGCCCCGTCACTCTTCTGTTTCTGCTTCGCTGGGCAATCCGTATCGGTTTCCTTATGAAAGTGACGTCTGCAAACTGAACACCATGAGGTTTCAGCACAGACGACGTCAACTTTGACCAGTCCGTTTTCCTTTAAATCAATCGGTAAGCACTTCTTGTACTTCAACTTCGCAGACGGGGTTAGGTCAAAACGTACGTTTCTCAAATCTGGTTCTAATGGTTCCTTATAGGCCGGGAAGTCCTTGATTATAGGACCGAAAGCATCTTCAACCACTCCTTTTAACAGTCCCAAAATAGACACCAGAACTTCCATACAGCGGATCCAAAAAAAAATTTGACGCATGGCGTCTTTCCATTCCTGCAACTGATGGACGTTCATCCAAGGGCTGAAGGTCAGAATGAAGGTACGATTATCTAACCTCACCTCATCCCTCCCCTTCCTTAACATCCAATCCGCCACTTGTTTCGATGAGGCCACATACGTGGCCAGATTCTTCCCTTCATTGCAGAAGGCACCTCTGATCGGCGGTGCCTGTGGTGTRTTGGTGGAAGCCCATGCRTTTTCATATGTCCTGACTAGCCTGTTTTTAACGTCCAYGGGGAGGTTTGACGCTTCATCGTTAAAAAATATTGAAATAGCATGCTCTGTCAGCCAATCAGATTGAACTTCATACACGTTTTGGTCCACCGTCACTTTCACGAAATCATCCCCTGTTTCCACGAGACCCGGTGATATCCTATTCGGYAAAATCCCTTCRTTAAAACACTTCGAGAGTAATTTCCTAATTCTCTCTTTTCCCTCGTCAGTGAGCGGATTGATTATTTCATTGGTGTCCGCTGCAGACGATGAGCTCGCCATCATTGACTCACKGGTCATCCCCTTATTTTCCCACAGCAAAAATAAACCTAATAATACTACTAATATATATCGTATTATCTGAGGCATCCAATAAATAAGGCCACCGTGTACAAGGCTATACCTGTCGCCCTTAGTAAGCGTCTTCGATGGAGTGTCCGAACCTTACCACCAAAGCATCCTTCCTCTACTTCTGTCAGGGAAGTCAGCCCTGTGCCTCCCGCAGGTCAATAGCTTCCAGAGCCACGTCGTTTCTGCTGAGGAGGTCAAAGCTTTCAATACTGCTCCCTCCTTCCACTGAAGCAGCAGGCAGGATCTGATTGACGCTAAGTTCCTTGAGCTCCTGAATATAGCCCATACAAAAAGCCGCCCAAAAGAGATTTCCTCGAAAGTGCCGAAGACGACGTCAATCCCCTCGCCATCACGGTATTCCCGTACCACCGGTCCGTGCTGAAGCACGGACCGGGTGCTGCGGCCCTTCACCTCCGCCGCCTCCACTTTAGCGCACTGCTAACGCATCAACTGGCCGTCCTTCGTGTTCTCCCTCATTCTTATTTTCTCAAAGGCTCTTGATTTTCACAACCTCCGAGTTGAGTTGACGAGTTTCGGAGGGATATGCAGGCATTTTGTCCTTTAGTGAAGTTTGCCATTTCAGGGATGTCGTCATCAGTGAAAAAAGGGTGCCATCATTGACCCGCCACGGACCTCACGTGATAGGTCGTTCCTAGGGAAACGGGGAGTGGTTGTGGAGGAGGTAGTGCAGGGTGTGGGAGATAGTGCACCACGTGGGAGGTCATTCCCCAATAGAAGCAGGGTTTCCTGTTTTAGGTCTTGCTTCAAACCAAAGAATCCTCAGGCCCAGCATATCCCCGTTTCCAGCAGGTGCAGCTCCCCACCAATAGAATGGAGCCATCAACCCAGCGAAGGCTGCTAGTGGAGGTTGCTCTTACCAACTCCGGTAGCAGGCTTTCACGCAAATGATGTTTTTTTTTTTTTTTAAATAAAAAAAAGGAAAGATTCGGGTCTCCATCTACGAATGAATCTTCAGACAGAACGTGGAAAGATACACCGCTGCGCAGCATATATATCCTTCTTTATTTTTTTTTAACTAATCTATATTCTTCTCTCTATCTCTTTTGTATATATTATCCTTATGTATCTCATCCTCTCACTACTCTACGTATAGTACGGGGGAACACCAACCAAACCTAGAACTCTCCCCAGCCCACGGGTTAGGTTGGCACCACAGCAGTGGTGCGAGAGCAAGGCTTTGTATCAGCTCCTCATCAAGATGATGCGGGATGGTCAGGCATTGCCCATGGGGTAAACCGCCGATGCTAGTGCCGAGCATCTTGGCCAGTCACTCGCACCTCCCCTTGTCTTTTTCCTATTCCAACGTCTAGGAGGTGGGAGCAGACAGACATCCGGCCTTCATCTGCATCTAGGTTAGAAGGCCTCTCACTGTACAGTACAGTGGCTCACCCCCACTCCGGCAGTCTATCGACCACTCAGGAACGTAGCTCACCAGTTCAAAACCTGAGCAGGAAAAAGCCCCTTGCTTCGAAGTTTCTTGTGGTTAGTTTCCAAAGCGAAAAGTGGATGTGCTGCTCACAGAGAGGAAATTATAGCAGCCTGTCCAGCTAACTGGTTACAGTTCTTAGAAACAGATGATGACGATTGGTTCAAAGACACTTGGTTATAGGACAAGCAACAACGTGACACAGCAATCCACATGTTGGATAGCACAGAAGAAGGGACCTTCATGGCAGACCTCTGGGACATACAAGGACAGCAGCTTATACCACATAACGACATATCAACTGTACTCAAGAACAGACTGGGACAAGCCCTCAGGGTAGTGAGTGAACTATAGCATCTACAGGTAACCCAGTCCTCATCCCTCCTAGGTGAAGGACGACTGGACTGGACTCGGGTTGGATGGATCAGAACAGTTACTGCAGAAACAGCAGAAACTGAGACTATCTCCCTGGAGGAATATAGCCCTAAGATAGGCGTCAATCTACAATCCAAGGCTGCAACCTTAACAGCCCACTCCTGGACCTGTTGGAACAAGCGCTCAGAGAATCTGGTATCCATTTTACTGCCAAATGACACAAGGTGTCACGGAAATCAAAATGGCAGGTCTACAGTGGCTACATATGCATTCATGTACCCCCACAACAGAATGGTGTTGAGAAAGAGGAATGGAGATCAACATTTTCTGTGACCAATGCCCCTATCCCAGAATCGAGTCATCCGCTCACCTGTAGTGGGAATGTGTGTTGGCACGAGGTTTCTGGGAATGGTTGCACGAGTTTTGGAGAAAAGCGTATGGGGACTCTACATTGTGGAGTCGTAACTTTGTAATTACAGGTACCACAAATAACCCCAAGGGTAGTTTCATCGCCTTTAAATTCCAAGACATTGCATTCTGGCTTTTATGACTACAACACAATTGGTTCTTAGAAACAAATTCAGATTCACTGCACGTACTAATCTGATTCTGGCAGAATACAAGAAACTTCGGAGTGCGAGAGGGAACGGGAAGAAATGGGGGGCGCTTGGGATTTCGGGCATAGCTGAATAGATGAATGAAACAAATGCACTGCCCTCCAAAACAAAAAGAAAGACAAAAAAGAGGAAAAAAAGAGATTACGGACTGCTTTTCAGTATGGATGTACCGAATCAGCAATACAGTTGTGAACATTCAGCAACTAACTACTTTAAATTTCTTTTCTTTTTCTCTTAGAGCCCTGCCAGCAAGGCACAGCGCACTCACACTTCGCTGCCTTCGCACTTCTGTTTCTGTGACATCGTCCGTAGGGGCTGTCTGTCGTAGGTCCAAGCAGCCTGGAGGGGTTGCTCTGTTAAAAGGGGCTCTGCCCTGCAGGGACGATTGGAATTCTACTCAGCACAGTGTTCCCCCTCTCCTCAATTGGAGCATTAAGATATTAGTATGTGAAAGGATGCTGGATCTGATTTTCCAGCATTTATTTGCTCCAGTCGTAGCAGTTATATTGTATACAGAGAAAAAAGGACGCTGGACCTGTTTTCAAGTACCAGCCTAAGCTGAGTAATGGCCTCAGTATCCGGGTTGAATTGTGAGGTCCCCGGCCTCGTTCCTAAGATTTTGGAATATGGGCCTCGCTGCACTACTCTAGACTCTCGAAATATTTCGAGAGTTCGACTAGCATTGTCAGAGAGGCGAGACTCTCGACATACCCGCCTTCTCTGCACTTACTTTAGAATCAGTTACACTAGACGAACTCTTGAAACCCTGGGCGTCCTCCGACTCGACAGAAGAGCTGCACCACTGCGCTACGGGATGAAGCCTGCCCGCCCGGACAGGCGGTCCACTCTCGAAAAACGAGCATGTCGGCGGGCAACTCCCGAGGACACTTGCAAACTCGGTTTTTGCAGGCGGGCGACTCTCGACGTTTCGAGAGTGGTCTTATAGCGTTGCTTCTGACAGCTCTCAATCGGGTTCGAGAGTTTCCCTATCGAGAGTAAGGGCCTCGCCGCACGGTGCATGAAACGAAAAAAAAAACGACTTCATTTCGCGAAGGAGTCGTCGCACAGCACCCACACGACCTCTGTCAGAAGACAAGTCGTGAATACTGTCAGACTCCAAGTTCATGAGGTTAACAGCTTGCGCGAGTCCTCCCTGCCTGCAGCGCTCGCAAACTCGTAGGTCCTCCGCTGGTCGCCTGGAGGAGCTGCGAAATCTCACGAGTGTGCCGCATCCGCAAAATTGGACCGTAGTGTCCAAAAATTTGGACCGTAGCGAAAAGAATCCCGCACACCTCTCGTTTGGGGTTCTTGCGAGAGTTTTCGTGTGTGCTGTGGGGCGGTGAGGTGAAAAACGGCTGGGCTTCGCGAGGCCTCACGAGTCGGTTGGTTTCTTTAGTTGTGCGGTCCGGCAAGGCCCTCAGTGCACCTAAGACCCACTCTCGAAACTTCAAGAGTCTAGAGTAGTGCAGCGAGGCCCTACATATTGCTAATCTTCAAAAAAAGAAAAAAGAAAGAAAAAAGCGAAACTGGATGTTAAAAAAAAACAAAAAGTCCTTCGGGACATCCGTTAAAATTGGAACGATACAGAGAAGAATAGCATGTCCCCTGCGCAAGGATGCCACGCAGAAATCGAGAAATGGTCCAAATTCTTTCCTGTTATTGGCCCCCCGTTCTAGCCTTTAAAAAAAAAAAAAAAAAAAAAAAAAACAGAAAAAAAAAACCTGGATGTTCGCCCCTTCCACCCCCCCCTGTACCTTGTTTTGGCGGCAGGGGCAGCGGGGCGCCTGCGTTTTGCGAAACGCCCGCCCTCCTTGCTGTGGTCCCACGCAAAACGGCGGCTGTCGAGACCTCCTCTAGCCTGACAGGAGTCGAAGAACTTTCCGCGGACCGTCCTCTCGACAGCTACCGTAGTGTCGGCGATGTCGAAACGTCGGGAAATCGATTTTTCAGACATTGGTGCGGCGAGGCCCTGAATCTTCAGCAAGAACACGGAGAGGTACACAGGCGTAACATTTGTGTTTTCGGCATTGGTGAGCAGCGCGGCAAGGCCCAAAGAAACACAAACACGTGTGCATGCCATCTGTCTCCTGCCGCGGCGCGCATCAACGTGTCGTGTTTCTAGAGTGTGAGAGCATCTGTGGCGGAGAAGATAGGGAGCGTAGGTACAGACGTTTAGTCATTGGTGGGAAGGAATCGGGCTGCTGTCACGGTCAGGTACAGAGACAGCAAGTCCGACTGGGAGAAGGAATCTGGACCTGATCGCTGTAATGTACATGAGAGGAAGCCCGAGCGCAAGCAACTTGTCTGCTGTCTCTCGCATACGCAGGGCGAAGCAAATCTCAAGCTCGTTGAGATGAACACACGTGGCGCTTGTCTGCCACGTGTCGCTTTCGGAATGGCTGCGGCGATGTTGCTGTCGGTCTGCTTCTCTTGGTTCTGTCTGGTGGCGCTGACGTGTCACGCTGTCGACGTCCGGCAGTCCGATGGTAAGCTAAAAATAGCCATCATCGGATCGGGAATTTCGGGGACGTCAACGGCTTATTTCTTAAGCAATGGCGGGAAAGATGACGGCGGCGGCGGCGATCTGTACGAGATCCACGTGTACGAGAGATCAGCTATGGTGGGAGGCAGGGTGGCTATGGTGAACCTTAGCAGCTATGGAGGTCACGTGTTCGAATCCGGCGCCAGCATCATTCATATCAAGAACCGTTATATGAAGCAATTCGCTGCTGAGTTGGGATTGCGACCGGCTGTGAGTCCCGTCGAAGGTCGCTCCTTGGGAATTTTCGACGGTCAAAAATTCGTTCTAAAGTTGGGATGTTCGTCTTCATCCGCTGGCGGGAAGAGCTGGATCGGGACCTTATCCAAATGGAAAAACGCGGGAACTATGGGATTGCGATATGGCGGGAGCTTGATTCGTCTTCGCAGCTACGTAAAGGTCTGTTCGCTTCCCTTTTTGCCTTTTTCCTTTTAGCTTTTTCCGTTTTTTTTTTTGTTTTGCTGGCGGGAAGAGCTGGATCGGGACCTTATCCGAATGGAAAAACGCGGGAACGATGGGATTGGGATATGGCGGGAGCTTGATTCGTTTTNCTTTCCGCGGACCGTCCTCTCGACAGCTACCGTAGTGTCGGCGATGTCGAAACGTCGGGAAATCGATTTTTCAGACATTGGTGCGGCGAGGCCCTGAATCTTCAGCAAGAACACGGAGAGGTACACAGGCGTAACATTTGTGTTTTCGGCATTGGTGAGCAGCGCGGCAAGGCCCAAAGAAACACAAACACGTGTGCATGCCATCTGTCTCCTGCCGCGGCGCGCATCAACGTGTCGTGTTTCTAGAGTGTGAGAGCATCTGTGGCGGAGAAGATAGGGAGCGTAGGTACAGACGTTTAGTCATTGGTGGGAAGGAATCGGGCTGCTGTCACGGTCAGGTACAGAGACAGCAAGTCCGACTGGGAGAAGGAATCTGGACCTGATCGCTGTAATGTACATGAGAGGAAGCCCGAGCGCAAGCAACTTGTCTGCTGTCTCTCGCATACGCAGGGCGAAGCAAATCTCAAGCTCGTTGAGATGAACACACGTGGCGCTTGTCTGCCACGTGTCGCTTTCGGAATGGCTGCGGCGATGTTGCTGTCGGTCTGCTTCTCTTGGTTCTGTCTGGTGGCGCTGACGTGTCACGCTGTCGACGTCCGGCAGTCCGATGGTAAGCTAAAAATAGCCATCATCGGATCGGGAATTTCGGGGACGTCAACGGCTTATTTCTTAAGCAATGGCGGGAAAGATGACGGCGGCGGCGGCGATCTGTACGAGATCCACGTGTACGAGAGATCAGCTATGGTGGGAGGCAGGGTGGCTATGGTGAACCTTAGCAGCTATGGAGGTCACGTGTTCGAATCCGGCGCCAGCATCATTCATATCAAGAACCGTTATATGAAGCAATTCGCTGCTGAGTTGGGATTGCGACCGGCTGTGAGTCCCGTCGAAGGTCGCTCCTTGGGAATTTTCGACGGTCAAAAATTCGTTCTAAAGTTGGGATGTTCGTCTTCATCCGCTGGCGGGAAGAGCTGGATCGGGACCTTATCCAAATGGAAAAACGCTGGAACTATGGGATTGCGATATGGCGGGAGCTTGATCCGTTTTGGCAGCTACGTAAAGGTCTGTTCGCTTCCCTTTTTGCCTTTTTCCTTTTAGCTTTTTCCGTTTTTTTTTCTTGCGTGTTTTTTTTTGTTTTTTGTTTTTTTTGGCTCTCTTTTCACCTCTCTCTCTCTCTCTCTCTCCTCTTTACAGGTAATAATATCGCCTCCCTTTTTCCTTTTCCTTTTTTATTTTTCGGTTTGCTTTTCTGTGTTTTTTTTTTGTTTTTTTGGCCCTCACACCCCTCTCTCTCTCCTCTCTACAGGTAATACTAATATCGCCTCCGTTTTTCTTTTCGTTTTGTTTTTCTGTGTTTTTTTTTCTCTTTTTTGGTTGTCACACATCTCTCTCACTCTCCTCTTTACAAGTATTACAGTAGTAATATTAATTGGCCCCTAGCCCCAGTCTCATCTTTTTTTTTTTCCCCCCCCCCTCTTTGGGCCCTATCCAGCTTGCATGGAGTGCTACCGCCGACTGATCGTAGAATCTGACGTGTTGATTGCAAAGCAGCTTCCGTCTTCCGCCGAACACAACGCACCCTCATTTTGGCTGTACCTGACCGGAAATATAGCTTGTATACATTCATTCTCAGGGTGCGTTGAGAATCTGACGTGTCATTCGTTTGATTGCAAAGCAACAATACCGTCTTCCCCCGAACACAGCGCACCCTCATTTTGGCTGTACCTGACCAGAAATATAGCTCCTGTACATTCATTATTAGGGTGCGCTATGTTCGCGGGACGACGGCAGCGATGCATAATGGGATCCGATCATCCGTTGGCACTCATCATAGAATCTGACGTGGCAGGTTGTTGGAAACGAAACTTTCCTGAACATGCGCATCGTATCACAGCAGCAGCAGCAGCAGCAGCAGCAGCAGCGACGCGTGCACACTCCAGTGCATCCGGGTTGGAACACCAACGCACCCTCATTTTTTGACTGTATCGGGCCGGAAACATACCTTGTATACGTTCATTTTCAGGGTGCGTTATGTTCGGGGGAAGACGGTAGTCGGGACAATGCTCCTTGCTTGTCGGGGCTTTTATCGGGATTATGATGATGGTCCTTGATTGGACAATCCGCCACCCCCGTACCGGGATCGGGACCGAGTCAGCGTAGATCTTTGGGCCTCCTGCTTGTCGCGCTGGTAGTCGACGAAACTGCGGACGAAACATACGCCGGCCTCGCTCCACTATTCAGACTAATTGTGCGAAATGAGAATGAATGTTCTGCTAGAACGTAGAAAGATACACACCATATTTTTTGTCTCTTGTGCCTGGGGCGAGTAGTGGAGCGAAGCCTAATAGTAGGGCCTCGCTGCACTACTCTTGAAATGCACAAAAGACAAAAATCATGGCCGTGTATCTTTCCATGTTCTAGCGGAAGATTCACTCTCATTTTGCACATTTCAAGAGTAGTGCAGCGAGGCCCGTAGTCTGTCACAGCCCCCCAGCGTCATAACGAGTCGGCGAAACTCCAAGGAAACAGTGTGTCACAGCCGCTCGTTTGTTGTCCTCGTCTCCCTCCCTCTCTGCCTACGCAAGAGGTTCTGAACAGGGGGAGTTGTAAGGAAGAAGATAAAAAATGAATTGATATCGTTTTTTTTTTTTTTTTTTTTTTTTTTCGCTTTTGCGCTCTGATATTTATGTGACGATATAACCTCTTGCGTACAAGGACGCCCACGTGGATGTAGGTTGAGCGGCGGCTGCCCCCACCCACGTGTGTCATATCGACCCACTTGTACACATCCAAAAGGCAAAGAGGCAAAGAAGAGAGGAAGTACTACTCCTATCCTTTTCAAAAGGTATTTTTATCTTGGGCTTTAAAGTTTTAATTTTTGGAAAGTACTTTAAGGTGGGACGCTGGACCCGGTTTTCAGCAGATAGATAGAGATTTGAAGTGCATTTATTTTGGTTGCCAAGCTTGGCTCGTAAGCGAAACTGGCTGAGGCTGCCAGGATAACTCCGGGTTGAATTGTGAGGTCCCCGGCCTCGTCCCAATGCTTTTTGCAATATAATTTGTAATGCTTTCCAAAAAAAAAAAAAAAAAAAGAAGAGAGGAAGGGAACAGCCAAATAAAACAGAACAGGGGGCAGCAAAACAGATCCCAGATGACAAGTCCCCCATGCAAGCACCGCCCTTGCACCACAGGCCAAACGACGGGACAAGACCAACCAGGATGTCAAAACATTCTTGTCAGCTCGGATCCACAGTGTGACAACCAAAGAGAAAGAGAAGACAATCCCGGATGACGATTCCCACATACAAACACCGCCCGGCACTCAAAAGGCCGAACACCGGGAAACAACCAACCAGGATGCCCATATACAGAATCGAAGCAGACAAGATTCACAAAACAAACATTCTATCATATCCATAGTAAAAAAAGGGAACCATTCAGCAGGCCCGCAAAACGCAACACCCCAACAATGGGGAAGATTAAAGAGAAAAATCTGGATGTAACCCAAGAGCCTAGCTCAGTGGGTACACCCATGAACTGTTAAAATGCAGACCTGTGTTCGAATCCAGATGATGGAACTTGACGAGCAAAACCAACTACTAATGAATTGCTTGGGGCCGGTCAGCTCAATGATAATATCTCAAGGCCGTTGCCCTTTTTTCATTCTAAAGAAAAAGAAAAAAAAAAATCTGGATGTATATAGATATATATCTGTTTGTGACGATATATATATGTATCTGCAGACTGGGGGTGACAGATAAAAAAAGAAACGGAGTAAAAAGATAAAAAATAAATAAATAAAAAAAGAACCCAAGGAAAAACACAAAAAAAGAGACCTGAGAAAAAAGAAAAAAGAAGAAAGAAAGAAAAATATGTTCTGGTGGGATGGTAATTGGATTATCTGTGGGATGTGTCACTTGCTTCGTCTGTTTAATAGGCTTTCTTCTGTGAGGTTTGGTTTCCTCCGCCTTTTCTTTACCTCTGTGCCTTTTGGCTGCGTGCAAGTGGGTCTTTGTGACACACGGGGATGGGGGCAGCCAGCGCTCAACCTGTCATCCACGTGGCTGGCCTTGTACGTAAGTGGTGATGAACAGGTGGGGCTTTCCTTCCTTCTTTTTCTTTTTCTTGTTTTGTCTTTTTCCGCCTTTGTGCTCCGATTTCCAATGTGACAATATATCTGCAGACTGTTGAGGGTTCAGCCTCCTGATGAGTCGGTGAAACTCCGACGAAACAGTTTGCCACAGCCCCTCGTTTGTTGTCCTCTTCTCCCTCTCTGCCTACGGTTTACCGGGCAGCTCTGTTTGACTATATATATATCTCATTTTTCTTTTCTTTGCTCATCTTATTTCTTCTTCTACTTCACGTGCTCATACTCTTAGTCAATAGTTCTGTGACAATATATATACTCTCGTTTGTTGGCTCCGTAGATCCAATGGAGGTAATAGGTGCAGGGTCAGGAAATGGTTCTAGGTGCAGGGTCAGGAAATGGTTCGGGGACACCTGGGGAAAATACTCCAGATTAGTCAAGCTTACTGCAGAAGCCAGGTTTAACTTATGCTTTTCGCCCTGGCTCCTCTCCCCAGCTGGTCATGGAGAGCGTTTTGGCTCCCCCCCTTAACTGCACTCTAGTAACCAGAGTTTCAGGAAAGGTATCTCTGGTATGATACAGGAGACAATTTGCCTGTTGAGGTTTCATCCTTTTTTTTAGTTTTTTGGAGAATTTCTTTGGGAAGGGACACTTGACCCGGTTTCCAGAAGCCTATAGCTGGGTAATGGCCCGAGCACATTGAGTACCGGGTTGATATGTGGGGTGTATAACCGGGCCCTGTCCCTCACGTGGAATGGAATGTTCTATTTCTCCAAAAAAAAAAAGAAAAGATATATATACATGTTCGGCCTTTTGGAACGCGGGGCGGTGCTTGCATGTGGGAATCGTCATCCCGGATTGTTTTTTATACCGGTCCTCCGGGTTCTTTTTGATTTTTTTTGCAGACAAGAATGCTTGACATCCTGGTTGGTCTTGTCCCGTCCTTTGGCCTGTGGGCAGGGGCGGTGCTTGCATGTGGGACTTGTCATCTGGGATCTGTTTTGTTGCCCCCTGTCCTGTATTATTTGGCAGTTCCCTTCCTCTTTTCTTTGCCTCTTTTTCCTGTTTTGCTTCCTTTTTTTCCCTTTTTTTTCGCATTTGCGCGCTGATATTTTTGTGACAATATATATATATATATATATATATGTCCAACATTTCCTCATTGTACACATCCCTATCACCCAGATATACGTTGTCCCTTATGTGCCCAAGGACGCTATCAGAACTGTATGATGCCGCACTGTGATGAACGTCCTGCTGTTTTTTTGACATGTGGACAACATGTCCTCTGTCAGGACTGTTTTGATGGGATGGTTCGTGCTAGCCGTCCTGCTGAATGCTGTGCTGGCGCAGCTCTCCTTGGGCATCCTTGTGGACATCCACATCATCCTCACCGTAGCTGTCCTATCTGCCGAGGTAGGGACAGGTAAAGAAAAGAAGAAGAAAAGAAAAAGAGAAAAAAAGAAAAAAAGAGAAAAAAAGAAAAAAAGAAAAAAAGAAAAAAGAAAAGATATGTTGATCTGTGGGATGTGTTATTTGCTTTGTGACAATTGGATTATCTTTCTTTCCCTGTCAGGTTTGGTTTCCTCCTCCTTTTCTTAACCTCTTTGCCTTTTGGCTGCGTGCAAGTGGGTCCTTGTGACACACGGGGATGGGGGCAGCCAGCGCACAACCTGTCATCCACGTGGCTGGCCTTGTACGTAAGAGGTGATGAACAGGTGGGGCTTTCCTTCCTTCTTTTCCTTTCCTTGTTTGCTTTTTTCCGCCTTCGCGCTCTGATTTACAGTGTGACAATATATATATATATATATTGTCACAGAACTATTCACTAAGACCGCAAGCACGTGAAGCAGAAGGAGAAATAAGATGAGCGAAGAAAAGAAAAATGAAAGGATAGACAGGCAAAGAGACAGACAAACCAGAATGACACAGAACAATGTCCTCTTATTCTTTGTTTCACTGTATCCTGAAGAAAGGATAAAAATCAAAAACAAAAGCACATCGAAATCATTCAGTTTCTCAGTCTTCTTAACGCCTCCTCCACCGTGCCTCTAACGTACAAGGCTCGCCACGTTGATGAAGTTGAGCGCGAGCTGCCCCCATCCCCGTATGCCATAACAGCCCACTTGCACGCTACGGGAAAGAGGCAGAGTGAAGGAAGAGGTGTTAAACACAAGGAAGAGAGGAGCAGACAGGGTAACCAGCAGGCAGAGGGAGAAAAAACAAAAATAAAAATAAAAAACGTTGACACAAACATCTTCTTTCTTTTACTGCATTCTTCTTTCTTGCAGTTTTGGTGAAGAGTCTACCACGTTCGGTTTTCAGCACACCTGCACTTCCTTCTTCATTTTACAATCTCATTTTCACCCTCTGGACTTTTCTTTTTAGGGTGTTAGCAACTTCGTCACAGCAGGAGCCAGGGCGGCTAACATTAACCATACCTCTGAAGCATGCACGACAGAGGGCATGCCGGTTGCAGGCCATGACGATTGTGGGGCTTTCACCATCAAAACAAAGTAAAATGACACAGACTTATATTCTTCTTTTACTGCAGCATTCTTCACTGTTTTGCAGTTCTAGCGAAGGGTTTCCCACTTTTGGACATTCTTGTACACTCTTTTCAGCGCACCTGCACATTTTTGTCAAGGTGCAAGGTACGTCTAAGTAAGACCCTCACGACAAATAGGACAACTGTCATAAGGATGCGGGTGATGGTAGCAGCCCTCCCGCTGATCCATAGGACGTAAACCATTCAGGTAAGCAACTTCGTCACAGCAGGAGCCAGGGCGGCTAGCATTAACCATACCTCTGAAGCATGCACGACAGAGGGCATGCCGGTTGCAGGCCATGACGATTGTGGGGCGTTCACCATCACAATTAAGTGCACATTCACTATAGCACCCGCAGGCACAGATGGGACATACTGCATCTGGATGTAGAGGATGTTCACAATCCGGATACAGGTGGCATCCCTGCCGACAGCGGGCCCGAACAATTATATGGTTGTATATATCGTATATATATAATTCATTTTTTCTTGGTTTTCTTCGCTTTTGCGCTCTGATATCTTGTGGTTCTGAACAGGGGGAGTTGTAAGGCAGAAGATAAAAAATGAATTAAGTTTTTCTTGTTTCCTTGTTTTCTTTCGTTTTTCGCTTCGGCACTCTGATATCATGTGACAATATGTATTGTCAAATAGAGCTGCCCGGTAAACCGTAGGCAGAGAGGGAGAGGGAGAAGACGAGGGGCTGTGACAAACTGTTTCGGCGGAGTTTCACCGATAAGCCACAGTCAAACTGTTTTGGCGGAGTTTCACCGATAAGCCCCTCGGAGATTGGAGGATAGTGGATGCGTTATATGCAGAGATGCAGAAAGGCAGATCAATCGCTTTATATTGTCTGCACCTCTCTATAAAGACGTCCAGATTCATGAGTTAAATCCAATCTTCTTGGCTAATGGGACCAGATTCATGAGTTAAATCCAATCTTCTTGGCTAATGGGACCTGGGCCCCGGGGAGTCTTGCAATCGCAGTGTGGCAACGGAATAGTAATAGCAACTTTTTTTTTTTTTTTTTTTTTTTTTTTTTTTTTTTTTTTTTTTTTTTTTTTTTTTGTGTGTGCGTGGGGCGGGGAAGAGTACATGGTCACTGTATCTGGACTGAAAATTACTTACATAAGGGTTTTACTCTCTCTCATCTTCTCTTATGTACTTATATCCCGCTTGATTGCTACCGTCTTAACCCGGATAGAACACCCGGTCATTATCGCAGTATCTAGTCTGAAAACTGGTCCAGATACATAATGCCAGCTCGTTCTATTCGGGTGACAAGGGTGGAAGCCTTGGATTCATACGGCTGTCAAGAAAGGAGGTAGCATGTTATTGAATTTCCACTTCTTCTACCTTCTTACTCGAATACAATGTATTTGGGGCATCTTTCAGTCTAAATACAGCTAATAATCACTGTACGTTGTATTCCGGTGAAGACGGTAGTCCTTGGGGACGTCCGTCAAAATTGGAAGGATACAAAGAAGATTAAGGCGCTGATCCGACAATACGTAAAAAGAGAAAAAAGAAGAAAGTCCCTTGAAAGATGGACACGGGTAGTGCGGGGCGGAAAAGCAAACTGGGACCCCACGCAGGTGGGTTCCGCGGGTCTTTCCCAAGTACCACGCGGGATTTTTTTGGGCTTCCATGGAGACGGACCTTCCTGTGGTCCGCCATATGGCCTGGCCTGCAGCGTCGTACGGTTCTCTGCTCCACGGATGGACATCGAAAAGAGCGACTCATTTTTGCGGCAGCTTTCTCGGTAGGGGTAGTAATGTCCGACTCATTTTTGCGGCAGCTTTCTCGGTAGGGGTAGTAATGTCCGACTCATTTCTGTGGCAGCTTTCTCGGTAGGGGTAGTAGGGGTCCTCGGCCTTTCCATTTTGTATAGCCCCGTTGGGCTGGTAGGGGTAGGGGTCCTCGACCTTTCCTTTTTGTGTTGCGCCGTTGGGCGACTCATTTTTGCGGCTGCTTTCTCGGTAGGGGTGGTAGGGTCCTCGACCTTTCCATTTTGTGTAGCGCCATTGGGCTGGTAGGGGTAGGGGTCAATTGTAACTGAACATCTCAAGAGAGTGTTTTTTTGTTTTGGACAATTTCTGGATTTATGCGTGCCTTGCAAATCTACTCTGTATCGTTCCAATTTTAACGGATGTCCCGGAGAACTGGAAATAGTTTTCACTTTTCAAAAGGAAAAAAGAAAAGGGAAAAAAGGGAAAAAGGAGAGTTTTCACTTTTCGAGAGCCCACTCGGCAGCATGGAGAAGATGGGAAGAATAACGGCGAGACCCCAACAGCAAACAGGATTGAATCAAGCGGCCAAATCTGGACGTATTTTACGGAGAGATGCAGAAAGCAGATCAATTGCCATTTTTGCACCCTTCCACAAACATGTCCACGTTCAGAACTTAAATCTAATCCGCTTTGCGAGCGGGACCTCACCCTATGAAGGATGGAGGGAATGGAAAATGAATGTGATCAGTGCTCGTTAGGGCATCATCATGCTTAGCTTGATCTGGTCTGAAACAAAGGGGGAGAATGTTTCTTCCTGTACAAAGTGGCAAAGTGCACCTACCAATATTTTGTCTTTTTCACGTTTGGTGAGTGGTGTGGCGTGGCCTTTAGGCGCTGATCTGACATTACATAAAAAGAGAAAAAACAAGAAAGTCCCTAAAAAGAAGTCAATGGGTCGGACGGGGCGGAAAAGCAAACTGGAACCCCACAGAGGCGGGTTCCGTGGGTCTTTCCCAAGTACCGCGGCGGGTTTCTTTGGGCTTCTATGGAGACGGACGTTCCTGTGGTCCGCCATATTGCCTGGCCTCCCGATGTGGGTGGCACAGACCCTCCTGCTGAGGAAGGGTGGACATCGAAATTCTCGGTAGGGGTACGGGTCCTTGAGCTTTCCATTTTTTGTAGCGTTTTTGGGCCGGCAGGTTCCGTGGGTCTTTCCCAACTACTGTGGCGGTTTTCTTTGGGCTTCTACGGAGATGGACGTTCCTGTGGTCCGCCGTATGGCTCGACCTCCCGATTTGGGTGACACAGACAGACCTGCTGAGAAAGGGTGGACACTGAAAAGGCCGACACATTTTCACAGCAACTTTCTCGGTAGGGGTACAGCTCCTCGAGCTTTCCATTTTTTGTGGCGTTTGGGCCGTGTTCATCACGGGCCACGCACCACGTACACATAACCCGAAAAAACGTACCCCTAAGAAAGCGCCGCACCCAGTGACCTCAGAAAAATGGTCGGGGTCCGACTTTTTCACCAAAATTACCTAACTTAGCCACTGTGGGAAGCTTAGGCCTGCACCCACCCCCCTGCTTTCTGCCATGCCTTTTCGAGCGGTCCCAAGTGCTTCTGCAGTGAAGGCGCCCAAATGCTAAGGAAGTAAGGGTCTGATCCGACATTACTTGGTTTTCAAAAATGGCTAAAACAAACCAAAAAGCAGGCACGGAATGCAAAACAAAAATTGCAAAAATTGCATCCCACCGCCCATGCATTGTGAAACTACCTTTTACGAAGACACGGTGGGATGTCTTGGGCGCCGGCTGAAACTGATCCGGATCGCACAGCAGCATGATTTCAGGCAAAAGGGAAAACGTTTTTCCCTATAATACCGAAAGTAGACCTCCACTTGTCTCAGTCCCCGTCCAATCCCTGGGCCTCCTTTCCACATTTTATGAATGATCTGGCCAACACAAAGAGAGGTTAGGGTCTGATTCGGCAGTGCTTCTGGGTTCTGGCATTTTCGGGGGTCCCTTTTCTTTCCGCGAGAGTGGATGCGGCGGTGCGAAAGGAAGGACGTTTGTGGACGTGGCACTGCGTGTGTGAAGACCGCCACATTCCCGGGGCTATGCCATTTGGGTTGGCTGACGCTCTTTTTTTTTTGAGGTGGTCACGATTTCAAGTTTTAAGTAAACTTCAGCCCCCGAATATAACACCCCCCCACGTGACCCTACCGGACCCAAATCCTGGCTTGTAACATTCAACATTTTCGGGCCTTTTGCCTAGACTGCATTTCAAACTTGAAACCCTGACAGCGCCATAGTTATTTCTTTTTCTTTTTTTTTTCCCACTATAAACATGTTCAAATTTTCATATGAAGATTAAAACGAGGCCGGGGACCTCACAAGTGTCCAGGTTCTAACCTTGCTGTAAGCATCGTCCAGCTTAGTTTACAGTTGGCCGAAGCTCTCCAGGTGCCAAGCTACTGTGTTGCTGTGGGGTCGCGCCGGGCAGAACGAAAAAAAAAAAAAAAAAGCATCCCACGCACACACATGCAATTAGGAACTTTCACGATTGACGCCCTGTTTGTTTTGGCGATTCCCGCATTCCAGCCATCCAGGACAACAAGAAAACACACACACACACACACACACACACACACACACACACAGCAACCTTCCATCTTTTAAGCGGTTTAGGGTTTAGGTTTTAAGGTATGGAGAACATGATATCTCAAGGCGGTGGCCCTTTTGGAAAGAGGAAAACCAAAAAAGTCTGGAAGCCATCTGGAAAATGGAATCAAGAGGAAAACCAAAAAAGCATACTTGCGGCGCATCGACCCTGTGCGCTGTGCGGTGCGCGAACCCGAGATGCGCGCGCACCGGCGCACACCGCGCACCTGGGTGCGCGGTGCGGTGCGCACAGGGCCGGTGCGCTGAGCGCGGGTGCGCTGGGGGGTGCGTGCTGCAGGGC